AAGATAATGTAGTGAGCTTGAGAAGCGCTAGCTCTGGGCTGAGGACGCGCTCAGTGCAGCTGAATTTGTATAGATCCTCAGTAGAACTTGCACTTGGCTTGCAGGGAGCCCTGGGTTCAGTCTCCAGCACCCCCACTCGAGAGTGCCCCTTTCTGCCAGAGTGTGAGGCTCTAATCATGTGGATTGCACCACCCTCGTTCATTGCCCTTCACCTCTGATTCTACCTGCAGTTAACATCTCGCCGCCCGCCTTCTGTGGTTGAATTGCAGGCTCCTCAGAAAGGTCCCGGTTGTGACGTTCCATATTGCATTTAGTGCCTCGGGTGCAGGGCTCAGGGCAGCCTTGGAGGGATTGGCTGGCAGATAAACAAAAGTTCACAAGCACTTAGTAACGAATTATTTTTTAAAGAATTCTAAATATGAGACCTTGTGTTTGAACACGAATTGATTTTAGTTCTGTCATTTCAGGATGAGCTGATAAGAGCTATCATAGCCCGCTCGGCCAGGCAGAGGAGCTCAGAATACTCAGATGACTTCGAGAGTGACGTTGGTATGTGAGAACATGGAGGTTTCAAGCACTGGTCATGCTTGAAAAGATTTCTAGTTCTTGCTAGTCTTTTTAAAATCAATGTAATCTTAAAAGCTTGAAATGAACTATTGAAAATTTTTTCCATCCATTCAGTTTCCTCAGGTGATTTCTCTGATACCTCAGTAGATGAAAATTCAGTTAAGAAAAACATAAATGATTTTCATATATCAGATGATGAAGAAAAGAATTCTCTACGACCATCTTTTTTGAAAACCAAGAAATGGAACAGTGACATAAAGAGAGAGGAGGCAGAAGTTGCCATCAAGAGCAGCGAAGAAAAGTCACCTGATGTTTGTGGAGAGTCGCTTGCAGGTTCCTTCTCTGAATCTCAAAATAAAGATCAAGAAATTGAAAAAGAGAGAATTAAAATAAAACCGAAACCCAGAATTCTTCCAATCAAAAGCGCCTCCTCAGGTAATTTGTTAGATTACATAGCAACGTTTCTGGCAGGTGAGATGCGCAGCAGCGTGTCCCTGGCCTCCAGCCGCATCCCAGAGCTGCAGGCTGCCAGGCCTTGAGCTGCCATTTGTTTCTGGGCAGGAGCTCCAGCGCAATCCTTTCTCATTCCTTCATGCTGCAGATAAGGAAACAGTCATTCCTAGAGCTTGAATTGTAAGTCCTGTGCTGCAGGGCTGGCCCAGCAGCTGGTGTCCCCAGGCCAGCTCCTGGGTGACACACACACCCTCAGACACCCAAGTCATTTCCATACCAGTATTTTGCCTTTCTGTATTGGAAGAGTGAGTTTTGTTGCTGTTGTTGCTTAGTAATACTTAGTAACACTTAAACACTTTTAGACCTATCTGTAAAAATGTAGTCTTTTGTTACATGGGGAAATGTGCTAAAATTCTGTTTTCTTGGGGTAAATTCCTGGTGTGATCTAGGGTCACAAGAATTCTCCACACTGTTCCTCTGGACTCTGGGCAGAAGTGGCCGGAGCAGGCGCTTGGTGTTTCCCTCCTACTTTCTTTCTGGTTTTTAAAGGGGATGTTAGTTGGTGCTAACTTTCATAAAACTTCTGTTTCTTTGTATTACCATTACATACAAGCCTGGTAAAAAGTTCACTGTTGGGGGGCCGGGGAGATGGCTCAGTAGAATAAGCGCTTGCCTGGCAAGTACAAGGGCCTGAGTTCAATCCCCAGTTCCGCCCCCCCCCCAAAAAAAAGGAGGGGCTGGGCAGGTGGCTCAGTAGAATAAGCACTTGCCTGGCAAGTGCAGTGTCCTGAGTTCAGTCCCCTGTACCACAAAAAAAAAAAAAAAAAAAAAAAAAACATTCACAGTTGGCATGTTAGGTATCAGGTATCAGTGAAAACCTCGGAGAAAGCTACTTGGAGGTTGAATGAAAGCAGAGTGCTACCGTAGTGTGTACACACCAGAAAAACCTCTCCTAGACATCAGGTGTAGTTGCGACAAATAGGTTAACCTGAGGCGGAGATTAACCTGCTCTCCCTGCCCACCTGAGGCCCTGTGCAAGTGTGTGTGCTCCTGGGTGGTGAGCAGGCCTGCAGGTGGGAGCACAGCGACCCTCAGCACAGTTGTTAAGGAGAGGTGGGCAGACAGCAGCTGGAGGCTGACCTGAAGCAGCTGGAACTATGCAAGTAGAAACTTACGGTAAATAGCCGAACAGTAATCCAATTATGTGCCAAAAAAAGAAAAAAAAAAATGTAAGTTAAAAGGAATAATGAAATACTGTATTTTCACCACAAGGTGGCAGAAAAGATTGTAAATTTTCTACTTGAGTAATGTGTTCACTGTAGGAAATAAAAAATTAGTAGTTTCATACACTTAAATATAAAACAGAGCTTTTTAAAAATGTGTAGACTTTTAATGAGGAGTTGGCATTGCTTCTGGCAGGAGAGTGCTGGTGCAAAAGGCACAGAGGTCACTGTTCCAAACTCTTCGTAAGTGCAGGACCTGGTGTCAGGGCCTCCGGCTGAGGCATCCACATTGAAGCTGGTGGTCTGAAACTGAAAGTAGGCGTGCAGAATTTATGAAGTATCTACATCTGAAAGAAAGAAGGAAAGAATGTGGTCTATGAGCTAGCCTCATCTTAAAATTCTTAGATTTCTTTTTCAATGTTTGGACCTGAATATTTTATTGCTAGGTAGCAAGTAAAGCTTCATAAAAATATCAGACTTTGAATGTTTTCTTTCTTCCTGCTTGGCTTTGTAAAAAATCTTTATTTAGTTGGTGCAGGGTCTCATACACAACTCAGGTTCGTAATGATCCTCCTGTCTCAGCCTCCCCAGTACTGGGATTATAGGCATGTGTAACCACACCGAGTTTCAGAGGCTGGCTCAGCATGGGGCAGGCAGGGCATGTGGTACTGGGGATCGAACCTGGGTCCTTTTGCTTGCCAAGCAGGTGCTTAGATCACTGAGCTATCTCCCCTGCTTGGCTTTTATAAAGTTCAGCAACAAGAGTCTCACTTCATAGAGCAACTGTCAGATGACCATAGAATGTATTTTGTGGAATAACGGCTATGCTTTGGTTTCTGGCACCAGGGATTACACTTAGGGCCTCTTGCGCACTCACGGCACTCTCCTCAAGTCCCCCCAGAACTCCCTGTGAAATGTTTGGAACTGTGGGGGGTCTTAGGGACTGGAAGGACAGTCGCTCTGTAGTCCCCTGCCTCCCTGCCATTAGCCACCATGGCCATCTCCCTGCTTACAGCAGCACTCGCCTCTCTCTGGTCATTTCATGTGTTCGGAATTCTTTCCCTTCCTGGAGCAGGGCCACTGTCACTGTGTCGTGTTGAGGCCCAGTGGAGTCCAGGGCCTGGTGTTGGGGACTCAGTCAAGGTTTGTTGCAAGATTTCATTGTATAGAGCAAGGTTTGGTTTTTTGTTCTGTATTTTTAAAGATGTTGTGAAGACTACAAGAGTGCATAAAGCTGGAGAGATGACTTCAAGTAGAACCAACACGTACTGACTACTCTCAGGGTAGCAGCATTATTTTGAAAGTTTTATTGAACTAACTCTGGCTTGTGCCTTGCTGGACCGTACAGAGCAGGGTTGTGGCTTCGTCTGGGCTCCTAGGGCCCAGGACTATGGGTCACAGCCATTAGGCAGCAGTGTGGTGACCCTGGCAAGAGCCTGGTTTTGGTAAGGTCACCTTAAAGTGTGTGTATGTGTGTTTGTTTGTAGCAGAAAATAGCAGCAGTCTTGAAGCAGATGAGCACTTTAAACCTTCACCACGGCCAAGGAGCCTATTAAAAAAGAGTGGTCATGTGGAAGAGAAAGAAAAGCAAGGAGAAGAAGTCACCGCCCTCAGTGATGGCTTGGACTCTTCACTGTCCTCCCTTCCTGAGCTGGGTTTCAGACAGCCCGAAGCTGAGAAAGCCACATTCTCTGCACACGTTGGTTGTGAGGTGGGTGCTGCTGCCAAGTTGCTGACTTGTGGTCTTGAATTTAGCCCTCTGTATTCTGGTGAGTCTAGAATGCTGTTCGTTGTAAGCCGGAGCATATTCTAAGTACCACAAAGAAAGAAGAAAGTACTTCCGTGTCAGCTGTGACCTACCAGTAATTGCAAGACTCACCCACTTTCAGCAGAAGTAAGCTGTCCACATGATTTTGCATTTCTGGGTCTACATGGTTCTGTCGTAGTAGATTAGAATTGCGTACTTCCTTGCCGAGGAAAGCCTCGCTTCACTCACTCACTTGGCCGAGTTCCCTCAGCGGGTGTGTATGGAGTGCCCCTTGCACCCTTTGCTTGCTCAGGGTGTGTCGCAGCAGGGGAATGTGACCCTGAGGGTTTTCCTCAGCTACATTTGTCCCAGTCTCTGTGTTTCTTCAAAGGGAGCAAACTCCTCCCTCACGCTGTAGAAGGGAAAAGTGGCGAAGGACATCCCTGCCCAGGACAGCGTAGGGACAGAAGCTATGTGTTCCCTGCCCAGGCTTGGTCTTCTACCTGCCACCTACAGCGGCGGGTGTACCCATGTGCTTCCCAGGAGGTGATGCACAGGGACCGAGAGAGGCTTCTTAGTGCTCTGGCTCAGTGAACGGCCTCCTCTGCTTCAAGCCTGCAGTGTTCGGAAGCCCAAAAGGCCAGTGATTCCAGTCTCTTTCCTTAGTCCAGCTATCCCAGTAAAGCTGACAACTTGATATATCTAACGCCGCCATACTGTTTCTTAACTTTATCTGAAAAACCAAAGAAGGAACCAAGATAGTTATTTTATATTCAATATAATTATCTGGTCAATTGAATATTTCATTAGATTCCTGCAGCTGCTACAACCAGTTGCCACACACTAGGAGACCTCATGCAACAGAGCTTGCTTCCCTTCGTTCTGAACACTGGGAGTCGTAAGTCAGGCCCCAGGCTGCAGGGCCCTGCTCCCTCGAGGTATTCGGGGAAGGATCCCTTCACTCTGGGGGTTGCAGCAAATCGTGGCATGCCTTGGCTTCCAGCCGTGTCCCCGGTTTGTGACTTCCTCATCACTTGACCTTCCCGTGTGTTTCATTGGTGCTTCTTTCTCTAAAAGAGATGCTGTCAGATTGAGGATCTGTCCTCATCTGTGTCCTTCATCTTAATGAACTGTATCTGCAGACACTTCTCCAAATAAGATGTGCCTAAATTTGGGGGACAGTGTTCAAGCAAGAACAGATACGTCCCTTTCCATACTATTTTCTAGCATTTTTATGTTCTTTCTTTAATATTCCAAATTTTTAAAATAGTGACAGCATACTATGGCAAAGATTAATAAAAAGAGAGCTAACCATAGTCCGGCCACCTAATAGGAAGCTTGCCGTGCTTGCTTGCTTTGAGGACATTTGTCTGTGTGTCACATCGTGCTTGTCTGTTCGCTTCCGTGGTCTTCGCTGCACTCTTGCTTGGTCTCCTAGCAGTAGGTCCTGCCGTGTCTGTCGCTAGGGATCTGGAGAGCACGGGCACAGGAATGTGTGCGCATCGCCCAGGGTGTAGCCTTATTATCCTAATGCTGGGAACTTCCATCTTAACCACCTACGTATTCTGTAGTCTTCATTATTCAAGTCTTCTTTATCATCCTTAAATCCACTATCTGTGGGGTCCCTGGTCTAGTTTTCCTTCTTTTCTGGATGGATGAGCTGTGACTCTTCACCAGTCTGTCCCAGCTACATTCATCCAAGCTGTGTCCGCTGTCTTTCTAAAAATGCTGCCCTGACCCTGGACCTCCTCTTCCTCCTTACGGTCTGTCAGTCACCTCCCTGTGCCTGTAACAAAATGCTGGAGATAGTCACCCTAGAAGGAGGAAGCTTTTTCTGCTTGTGGTTTCAGGGTGCGGGGTGGCACAGCACATCGTGGGCGGGTACGGGGGAGGAGGCCTGCTCATGTCACGGCGGCCGGGAAGCAGGGGACAAGGAGCCGAGGCCGCGCACACCTAGCCGCCTCCTGCCAGGCCGGGCCGTGGCAGGGCGGCTTCTAGCACACGGTCCTTGGGGCCTGTGTAGGTCCAGCCCACAGCACCGTCGTGCAGGAGCCTCGGCCAGCTCAGCAGGGGTGAGTGCGCTCCTTCCCTGCTCTGACCCTGTGTCTCCAAGCTTGGGGACGCGACTTGGAAGTACGTGACTGATGCATAAATTACCCGACCTGGCATCCCAGCATAAATTCTGCCTGAGCAAGGCGTAATGTCTTACGGGATGTGATCTGGTAAATTTTGTTAACTTCCGGATATAAATTTAGGAAGGCTGTTTTTCCTGAAAATGTTGTCTGTCAGGCATCTATACACATGAGTTAAGGGTGTGCTTTCTTCTTCATCTTCCAAAAGATGAGTATGACATTAAAGGTCCGTCACATTTTCTTTAAAAGGGAAAATCATTGTTAAAATTATCCAGGCTTGGCATTCCTTGGGAGCGAGGTCTTAGCATTAGATTCCATATTTCAGTGGATATTTTTGATACTCAGATTTCTTTTCGTCAGCTTGATAATCTGTCTTCAAGAAATTTGTGCATTTCATCTGAGAAGTCAGATTTATTCAACACTGTTGTGTGTGCCATTTCACTATCCTTTTGTGACCATCAGGTTATTATGACATTCTGTCCTGTATCGCTGCTACTTCTGATTTGGTTTTTGTCTTTTTTATTAAATCTTGGTAGGTGCTGCTTACTTTCTTAAACTTCCCAGAACTCTAACTTTGGCGCTGCTGACTTTTCCTCTATTATTGGTTTCCAGTGTCGCTGATTTCAGCGTTTATTACTTTTTACTTACTTTGAACTGGATTTGCTTCTCTTCACGTGGAAAATTTTGTCTGTGACTGTGAGTCTTTCGCCCTCTGAAGGCCCAGAGGCTGTACTGTCCTCCTCTGGCCTGCGCGACAAGCCCAGCATTCCCGACGCCTGTGATACTCATTATTAGTTCCGTGATTGCATTTGCAGATTTCCCACGGATTCCCCTTCTGGCCAACTGGCTATTTTGTCATAATCAAATATAATTATAAATAGTTTGAGTCTTCTCTGGATATACATTTACTGTTGATTATAACTTAATGATAGTCCAGGAAATCCTTATGCTTTCCGACTTGTGAGAATCCTTAAAGGCCCAGCCTGAGTGACCTGGGAAGGCTCCACTTGCTCAGGCCAAGTGCGCCTGTTCTTCTGGTTTTGCCAACGACGTTCTGCCTTGTCCCGTGGCCGTCACAGAGGTCGCATCACGCGCGCACGTCTTCTCCGAGGCCGTCGCGGAGGTCACGCTGCGCACGTCTTCTCCGTGGCCATCGCGGAGGTCGCATCACGCGCGCACGTCTTCTCCAAGCCCATCGCGGAGGTCACGCTGCACGCGTCTTCTCCGTGGCCATCGCGGAGGTCGCATCACGCGCGCACGTCTTCTCCGAGCCCGTCGCGGAGGTCACGCTGCGCACATCTTCTCTGGGCTTGCTGACGTTTGGTCTGGTTGATTCATCCGTTGCCGTTCCTGGAGGTTAAAACCTTCAGTTACATGTGGAGATGCGTCTGTACTTCCTTTCAGTGCTGTCCGTCTTTTGTGACTTCACTACTAGACACACACGCACATGTTACTCTTGTGTCCTGGCTTTCAGCAGTGAACAGCGTCTGCCTGTGTGGCTCAGCTTACAGCGCTGTCCGCGTGGCGCTCCCCTTGCTCGCGCCAGCGGTCTGCACAGTGTGTCCTTCTGTCCTTCTGCTTCCAGATGATTTACGTCTTTTCCTTCAGGTGAATCCCGTAGAGGAACAGTTTGTGTCCTTTTAATCAAATCTTGTAACTCATCATTTTTAACTCTAGTATTTAATCTACTTGTGATTGATTTGTACTGGTTCGATCCCAGAGATGCTGTGCTACTGAACTGCTTCCTCAGACCACTTTTAAATTTGCTTATTTTGAGAAATAGCCTCAATAAGTGTCCTCAGCTTTTCAGTCCTCCCACCTCAGCCTCCTAAACAGCTGAAATTAATAGGCATGAGCTGCTGTACCTCACTGAATTTTCTTTTAATGTAAATCCTTTATATTTGTTGTTGTTTTCTTTTTATCTCCGTTGTTATACTGTTCCTCTGTTACTCCATTGCTGCCCTCTTTTTGGAGATTAAGCACATGGTTTTTTAGGTTTTCTTTTTGTTTTTTTTGCCTCTCACTGGCTTTATATTTTTAATAATTGTCCTGCGGGTTACATCACATCTATAAATGATCACAACTGAGAGTTAAACTTGTATTTATTTCACATTTAGCATAGAAATCATGCAGCAGTTTAGTTGCCACTCTTTCATTCATTGTAATATCATCATTTTATATTGTAAATCTGTTTAGGATATAATCCCCATAGTACAGTATTATAATTTCTCTTTAAAGACTTATTTTTAACTATTTGTCTGAGATTTTAAAGAATTAAGAAATAATCCTTACATTTTTCTTAAAGATGGATACGTGCAGTTTCTGAGAATCTGCATTCCCTCCTGTAGTCCCACATCATGATTTGTGCCCTTTCTCTTCAGTTTTATGCCCTTATTTTTTTCATATATTAAAATGTAAGTTGTCAGTGACAGATTCTCAGTCTTTGCTCTCTCAAAAGTGCTTTACTTCATTTTTGAGGCGGTTTTAGCTCACTAGCTTTCTTTGGTGCAGGTCCCGTGTTAACCCTTCTTCCTTGTAGGTTTCCATTGTTTCTGGCTTCTCCTTTCTGTCAGAAAATCAGTAGTCACACAATTTATTATTCCCCTGTGTATAATTGTGTGTGTGTGTGTGTGTGTGTGTGTGTGTGTGTTCTGCCTGCGTGAAGAATTCGTAAGCGTTCATTTTTCTTTGAGTTATCACACTTGAACATGTCCACAGGAACGACTTTAAGGTCCTTCATTGCTAAGTGCCACGTCTGCGTCATCTGTGGCTGGTTCCTGTTGACTGTGCCTGGTTTTGTTGTTGTTTTCCTGCAGTGAGTCATCTGTTTCTGTCTCTTCTCTCCTTGGTGGGATTTCCTGCATGCAGGATGCTACGATTGGCAGGGTTCTAGGTCGGCCACGTCCCTCCGACTATGTCTTCTAACGACCAGGTGGCCTGGCTGCACACGTTTCCAGCTCTTCTCCCTGCCAGTGCGTGCCAGTTTATATTTCTGCCTACTTCTTTCAGTTTCTGGCTGCAGTGGCTGCACAGTATCCTGTCAGGACTCTTAATTAGTTCTAAACAAGCTAATATTTCTTTGAACCCAGTATCATGAGTGTGTTCCTAGGTAGAGATAGCTCTAAAATAGAGATGAGAGCTAGAGCCCTAAAATGCTTTTTTAGGGACCCCGTTGAGTACCAAAGACATGGGGCTCAGAAGTGCAGCGCAGCAGCCTCCAGGGCCTGGCGCGCCTGTCGTCTGAGCAGCAGATTAGTACGATGCAGAGTTCGCAGGGAGCAGGCGGTCCTCGTAATGCTGTTGCTGCAGAAATTTTGAGAACTGAACTCACGTGATAAATTCATGTTTTTAAAACAGGCTCCATCATCATCACCCCTTAAAGAAAGCCTTGGAAGGTGCTTTCCTCCAGGATCTGAGGAGCAGGCGTCCAGAGAAGGTAGCTGTGTCTGATTATTACACTTTGCTTATGAGTGCAGCACTGCTTAGAACCTTGTTTGTGAGAGAACTGATTCTCCGCACAGGTCCAGGGAACATGCATTTGTCTTGGCCTCGGTCTCAGTCCTGTTCAGTGCTACGTGACTTAGATGCAGCATTTTAACTGCCAGTACGTCAGTTTCCCCGCTCATAAGATTAGCCTGTCTGAAAAGGCAGTTGTGAAAACTTGAGTGATGCGGTCCCTGTGGCCACAGCACCAGTTCCGAGCCTGGGTTGCCTGAGCATTCAGGTGAATTGTGGCTGCTTGTGTGTGGTCCGGCAGTGGCGCAGTCAGGCTGGTGTCCAGCTGCCCCTTAATCCAGCTGCAGCTGCACGCGCAGAGTCACAGGCACTCTGGCCACGTAGGGATTCTTAAAGTGCAGGTAGGAAGACTCTCCAGCTGCAAGGGCCTTAAAAGAATAATGCAGGCAGGGACTGAGAGCATGCAGCAGCAAGCACACAGCGAGTATGAGGTGAGAATGGCTAGTGTTTCTTAGTGCGGAAACAGCAAAAGCTAAATGCAGAGCCACTCCTAGGACACGGGCACACAGCTGACATTTACTGAGTGCGTACAGTGTAGGACAGTTTTTGACCTTTTACAGGTGGGAAAGACTAAAGTGCAGAGATACCGAGAAGTGCAGATGCCCAGGGTCTGTGATGAAATCATAGTGTTAATGTTTATCTTTGTTCTTTTCACTGAGTGGATTGGGTAGCAGCACCAAGCAGCCCAGTGGCCAGCTGGACCTGGGTGTCCCCAGATGTGACAGTGTAAGCACTGCAGGAAGGTGTCTTTAAGAGCGCTGACCTCAAGCAGGTTCCAGACCGTGGCCCTAGGAAAGCAGCGGCATTGGGACTTGGCGGTGAGGCTCTGTGTTGGCCCCGAGGTGGTGCCGTGGAAATGAGCGTTTGTGACCACGGAGAGCGTGGTTTGCTTTCTGGTGCACAGCCAGAGCCTTGCAGGACCCTGGTAGCAGCAGCAGCTGTGTAGCAGCAGCTGCGTGAGGCATCTCCTGCAGGAGCACGTGCTTGTCCACGGTCGCTGGCAGGTTCTGTCCTGGCCTAAGCTCAGCATGGCCACGCTGCAGGTGAAGCTGACGGGACGAGGCTTTGTCCTCTGTGTGCAGGTGTACTACTCTCGGTTCTCGCTGCACTGGTTCCTGCACTGCTGGCAGCTGCAGTGGTGTGGAAATGCGTGCTTGCTCTTTTTACAGTCCTTCTAGCTGAGGATGTCTAGGACCTAACTGGAAAATAAGCCCTACCCCAGAAATAAGCCCCAGGGAAGATCGTGAACCACACTGACATGTAGTGTGTCTGGTGTGGCATGCAACAGATGAATTGAAATATAAAATAATAATGCATAATTAAATATAAATATTGATATTAACATAAAAATGAATATACATTACAGCATGTGGGCCGGCAAGATAGCTCAGCGGTCTGAAG